TAATGTTTTTAATGGCAATGATTAATTATCATAGTCTCCTGCAACGACGTCGGACCAAGAAAACTCGAATTAGTTTGATTTACAATTCAGGTAATTGCATAATAGGTAGGACCAAGTGATTCAAGAAGCTTAACAATTTTAAAATGCGGTTGTCAGAATTAAATTATACTATAAACTTCGATCATGCTTTAGTTGATGATATTATTTGGGAGACAAAAAAGCTGCCTGTTTTAATAAAAAAAATGAACTTTGTGTGCTGTTTGGCTTAACGATATTTGAAATATTTTTATAAATGCATTCTTTAAAGAGGCATTATCTGTTTTAAATCCATGTTCACTGATTCACTCAAATTCTCATATTTGATTTAAAAAACACTAAAACGTGTATCAAGATTACTCAAAGTCTAAAATAAACAATAAACAATGCATGGACTTCATATTATGTATCAGCATTTCGTGTGTTTTTTTGTTTTTTTTGTGTCTAGACGTGATCAACCCCAAAGGTTGACTGAGAAATATAAATATGGCCACTATAAGTGTTCTTCCGACCGGCAGTTTAACCATTGGCAAAGTGGGGCGTCCGTCCGGCTGTGCGGGATGTACAAGGACGCAGTCACGTCCGGTCAGAATGAGGACGTTAAATCCGATGCCTCGTGTAAGAAAGTGTTACACTCTTTATAAACTTGAGAATGGAGATGGGGAATGTGTTAAAGAGACGAAGAGCATTATAATAATGTTAAGAACCCTTGCAACAAATATTTGAGTGGTCCGTTTGTGGCAGGTTGCGAGGCAAAATCTCTGCCCACATCCAATTTACCCTAATTATCCAGTGATAGTCCAAATTTTTCCTTCATTCCAGACGACCTTTATTGGAGCCTTAGAAGACCTTTCTATTGTATTAATTATTAACCTGTTCTCTTCCGGAACATGCATGAAACATTTTACACTGGAAGTAAAGAAACCAACAATCAATCAATCATCTAGAGTTCATCTAGAGTTCATCTAATCAACCATCGAGATGACCACCGAAAACTGCTGACGGTCATATGATCAAATAGAAAGCGACCACGTGCAATTGGATTTTTCTAGGTCTGTTTGATTTCATATTGTTGGTTAAAAAATATGTTTATCATCGTTTAAACCTGTATAAGAATGATTTGTTATGGATCGAATCATTCAATGAGATGGTTTATCCTTATTTCACTTTCAATGCTGACATTATTTTCCTTTTAAAAGCTGATTATGTGGGTAATCCATCTCCAGCTAAGGGGTTAAACTAAAGGTCACATGAATACGGTTTCAATGAGGTCGAACTATTCACTTCCAAGTGAAAAATAAATCAGTAATGTTCCTAAGATTATTTTGACATAGTTTAACTAAACTGTTTAAAGCGAATTATTTTTTTACTATTTCACTTTCATTAATGATTGAAGAAAACAATTCATATCTTTTTTGTACGTTGCTAATGCCCCTTTTAGGAAAGAGAAAGTAAATTTCTAATTGTAGCTACTTTTAGTTAAAGTTAAAGAAGATAATTGTTAATTTTGAAAAAGGCAAAATTCTTGTTACACAACGATTTTGGCAGTCAACTGTTAAACCTATATTGAAAATGATTGCTTGGTTGCAGCAGTTGAAAATGTTAAAACGTCCTAAACGACACCTAATCATAAAATAACTGACAATAAGAACATCCAATACCTAAAACAAATAAATGACAATAGGAACGTCCATTCCATAAAAGCCGATCTAAACCTCTGATGACAAACCGATCTAAAAACTCCCTAACTGAAGTCTAAACCAATCTACCGGAACTTGCACACATCTCAGTATCGCAATTCTTCACAGTATTTAACAGATGATGTAGTCGTGATGTAGTCGACTAACTTTTTGAAGCTTTCATGGTTCTACGTATTATATTACAATAGATTGACGTTCAGAACAGCGTGGATATGGATACCTAGTACTTTATTTTGCTTATACCGAACTATTTAACTTAATCATGTGTTCAATGGCTGTCGATAACATTAATTTCGTGCATTTACAGTATATCAGGGGCCTCTAAATCGGTGACGTTCAGAACAGCGTGGATATGGATACCTGGTACTTTATTTTGCTTATACCGAACTATTTAACTTAATCATGTGTTCAATGGCTGTCGATAACATTCATTTCGTGCATTTACAGTATATCAGGGGCCTCTAAATCGGTGACGTTCAGAACAGCGTGGATATGGATACCTGATACTTTATTTTGCTTATACCGAACTATTTAACTTAATCATGTGTTCAATGGCTGTCGACAACATTCATTTCGTGCATTTACAGTATATCAGGGGCCTCTAAATCGGGATGTCTAAAATTGTTTACACTTACACCCTCTGGTCCAATTAAAAAAAAAAACGAGGGAAACTTCGTACGAGTAGGATATTTTGGAGTTAAAAATTTAAGTATGAATGGTAAACTAAGAGATTTATCAGGGTTGAAACATTGCATAAAACGAGGTAAGACAATCATATTCGTGTTAAGTGTATGGTACAAAATAAGAAACCTGATGACCGACTTTAATCAACGAGTAAACAAATGTTCAAATGCTGTACATAAGCACGGGGTTTTGATTGCTGTAAAATATAAATATTAGAGGTGTCGGGCATATTTCGACACACAAAACTAAGAGACAACTGAGCATAATTCAATTCAGAAAAATGCGGAAAAAGTTTTTGAAAATAGTCAAACTGAAAAGAATTTGCTTTAAACAGGTCCTAACCACAAGAATTTTGACGTTAGAATACATTTGTTAGGATTATGAATTCTAAGTGAATTATCTGTATTATTTTCATTGTAGACAATATGTGGTATGTAATGTATTTTTTTTTTACTATTTCCGTTGCTTAACAGATAGTTCTCAGAAGTACATTAAACAAATCTGAAACCAATTTAGAAGCCTTTTAACAACTGTTTGAGGGGTCCGTAGATGGCCTGTTGCAAATCTACATTTCTGCTCCTATCAAAATACCCTCATTTTTCAGTGGCAATCCAAATTTATCGGTCCCTAAAGGTGACTTGAGAATAGAAATATGATCACTGCAGTTCTTCTTCCGACCGGTAATAAAACCTTTGACAAAGTGGGGCGTCCGTTGGCTTTGCGGGATGTACAAGTACGCAGTCACGTCCGGTCGGAATGGGTACTTTAAATCCATTGCCTCGTGTAGAGAGAATGCCACGCCATCTGCACGTTGAGAACCTTTGTAACAACTCTTTGAGGGGTCCGTAGGTGGCCTGTTGCGAGACTAAAGTTCTGTCCCTATCCATTATACCCTCATTTTTAGTGGTTCTATTACAGGACCTACTTATTGAATGAATTGTTAATTAGTCCTCATTTTGAACATGCATGAAATATTTGCCATTGGACGTTAAGCAACCAGCAATCAATCGAATTTCTCGCCCTCCATTCCTGTCCACCGCTTATAAGGGACCTACCAATTGTATTTATTGTTAATTTGTTCTCTTCCTGGCAATGTCAAAATAGCTTTGCCAATGGACGCTAAGCAAGCATTAACCAATCAATATATCATTGTTACAGTTTAATTATGACATTATAACCTTCAAATTATCACGTGTTGCTGTTGATCTGTTGAATCTTCAGTAATCTCTATTGATTAGACGCAATACAAAGATATTAAAAACCAATTATTAATTCATTCAGTTAAATTTAGGGCAGGGACAAGTGTCCTTTGCATAACTATGTTAACATATTAAATAACTGTCTTTCGTTATTTTTTAAATATAGATAAATTAGTCGAACATTAAAACGTTGCTGAAAAGTCAAGTTGTGTTTGTCCTATATTTTAAACACACTTAGATGAAGTTCATGTTACAATATATACAATGTTTTTAGTTTTTCAAGAAATGTCATTAGAAAGGGTAAACCAAAAACTCTTCTGTTCAAAGAATAAAGAATACTAGTAGTATAATTGGAAAATAATGTTGAGAAGGTTTGCAATTTTATGGCATTTCATGAGAATACCTGCGAATATCCATGTGCATTTCGTTTTTATAATCTTGCTGCAGAGGCATTCGTTTTCGTCACACAGTTGTGCTCAATTCTGTTGTCACATTTGGACAGTCACAAATTTAGACAAAAGGTTTGATTCATTTAAACGTCTGTACATGTTTTATACGCATCTATTGGTAAATCGGCGTATGTTTGTTTTATTTTTTTTTAAAAGTCTTATGAATTGATGTGAAACTGATTTATTCTAATGTCACTCAAGAGTATATTGATTGATTGATTGATTGGTGTTTAACGCCACTTTCAACACTATTGTGCTATTTCGTGGCGGTCAGTTTTTATTGGTGGAGGAAGCCGGAGTGCCCGGAGAGAACCACCGACCTTCGGTAGGAAAACTAACAATCCTAGTCAATTAAGATTGAAGTCGAGTGCACCTGCCCCGTGCGGGATTCTCACTCGCAACCTCAGTATTGACTTCCTTGTGATACAGTAGTTCGACTACTTAGACCACGCGGCCACCGAGGCCCCTCAAGAGTATAAATAATGCATTAGGCTTACTGATATATCAATCTTTAGTCTGAGAAAAAAAAATAAAAAGATGACTCATTAATGTTAGAATCGTATAATTGTTGTTCGTGTTTACTTCATCAGATGTCATTAGTGACACAGAAAGGGTTCCCCCGTCAGTAAACTATCGTAATTAACTCCGGATGCGAACTCCAGGTTTGTCCATCACTTTAGTTTAAAAATATGGAGATGTGGTATGAAAGCCAAGGAAATAACTTTCAGCAAAAGGATATGAACAACTACTGATCACCATACAGGGTTCAACAAGGAGTAAAACTAATACGGAATAATAAACACGTCTCCGGGGTGATAAAAATGGAAAAAAAAAACAAAACCCCAAAAAAACCCAGATATTCATATTTCTGCCTAAACCACTTCTTTTATTGGCTTGAAGGGAATGGTTGTTTTGACGATTTAAACTATAATTTAATGTTCATTAACATTTCTCTTACTGGATTTGACGAGTACTGCATATACATCTGTTTTCCCCAGTAAGTCCTTTCCATTCCCTTTCATAAGGAGGGTATTAAAAAACCCTTTTAAGGTTCTGTTTAAGCTGTCAGGAGAGTGGAATATCTTATTTTTTACTTCAAAATTAACAACCACGTGTCCTTTGTCACCCATTAAGCATGCTCCTGTGGCGTTGTCCGGCAGGTTAATTGTTGGTTCTTCAAACTCTTCTGTGACATTGAAAAACATTATTCATTATAGCATAAATGTTATAGTTATTTGTAGAAACCAGTTCAATAAAAATCGACAGGACAGAAAGTATATTGAAATCCATCTAAAAATGTAAAAACCTTAGTTCTATCTTTCAGAATAAAATTCCTATTAACATGATTAAGCTAAAATAGAAATCACACGGGTAAAAACAATGAAAATAGTTGCCTGCTCAAAACATCTTAATTGAATATTTATAGTAAGAACAAGGGGGGGGGGGGGGGGGGGGGGGGGTATCGAAAGAACAATCGATGTGAGACAGTATTTTTATATTACATCGATATCTCAAGGTAAAAATAAAAATACGGGTATTAATTTAAAATTGACATATGCATAGCAAAACAATTGAACTAAACGTCATATGACTATCTTGCAAATCACCATGACTTAAGAAGAATGTATTCGCAAAACAAATTTATCTATTGTAAACAAGTTAATTGTCTCTAAGTAATAGCACACCTTAATAACGCTTACTTACCTGCTGCACTGGCAATTACTGCATATGTTTGTGTACGGAAATAGCTTGTCAATTTACTAAATTTGAAAAGTTTTTGGATGAAGGTGCTGACTTCACTCTGGAACAGGCCGTCATCTAGAACTACTCTGTTTTTAACATCAATGAACAGTATGATACTGCCTTTCTCAGCTCCTTTGAAATTGATGTTCTCACTGCTGAGGTCTTCTTTTAGCGAATTTATAAGTTTGACTACTTCTTCACTATCGTCTACTTCATGAATGATTATTCTCAATTTTGTGTAGCTCTCCTTTAGATCTTTAATACAATGTGCACATTTTTAGAGATGAATGTTTTCATTTGCAATTCTTTTCATATAAATGAAGAAAACAATGTGTTTTATCTTATACTGACGACTGATTTTTTTTTTCAAACTTTGCCTTATAAGGGGAAATAACTCATGAAGTAAAATTTATTAAAGAATGTGTTCAAAATTACACATATTTTGCTTTGAAGCAAGTAAACAAGTCTTGTGACCTCAATTTTAGTTCTTTTTTTCAGAAGTTATAAGAGCCATCTTTTCATGTTATCTTTAAGTTGTATCATATAGTTTTCTTTTTAAGATCCATAGTTCGGTTTTTCATGTATAACCTATACAAAATCTTACTTTTTTGCACAATCCATAGCTTGATAAAAATCCTGAGAATTATACTTTTTACTCTATTTTTGCCAAAAGCATGATATGAATTACATTTTGTCAAATTATTTTATTCTATCAATTTCAATTTAGACCCCTTATCTTTCTTATTTTGATTTAGTTTGATATAAACACGGCAAAATTTCCTACAGCAGCATCACGTACAAAAGATATGAATGGATTTGAAAAGAAATATTATAATGTAATTAGAACTAGTATTTGTCGATATAATCCTGCATCATGCTATTGACACATAACACTATAATGTTTAAGCAAATACAGCAATTTAACAGCATGCCTGAAGCAAGTAACTAATTCCTATCACACTTTGTAAAACTCAAAGGAAAGATGAAGAGTATGAAATATTTCGTGATTAATGATTTTTTGAATAAAATAAAATAATGTTCCGAGAAGAAATGATAATAAAGTTCTTGTTTTCGAACTCAATAATTGAATGATTACACGTTAATACACAAATGTAAAAACTAACTTTTGCTGTGTATGAAGAATGAGGTAAACTAAATATATATTTGGATTAAGAGCAATAAACACCCTGTTTAATTTCACCTTCTTCTGCTCTAATTTTTTCAATTGCTGCTTCTGTCGATTTTCCTACAAAAATATGAATTTCTTTTCCTGGATTTCCAATAACAAACCTGTACATTTCTACAAAAGAGAATTATGATTAAAAAAACAAATCAAAATGTTCATTAAATCAATACAACCGTTTTCGTATGACTAACGTTATGTATTCACTTAGATATTATTCGAATTGACTTCTGTACTAGACAGCTTTTATTCACATAATAAAAAGATTTAGAAACCAAAATCTAAGAGATCTTAGTGACCTACCAAACCTTAAATTGCCACATAAGTTAGATTATAATATTTGTCGTCATAAAAATCAGTATTTTAATTCTTTCCGTTCTTGGCATCATAAAAGTGACGAAGCTTTGAAGGTTGGCAATGTTTTATATCAATACACTATTTTAAGTGCTTTTGCATAACTTAGATTGTCATGTTCTGAAACAAATAGGTTGATAAGGTCAACACACTTTTGGGAGCACACAAATCAAGGCGCTAAATAAAACAAACATACCTTCCAATTGTTCAATATCTGCTCTAGCATCGAGTAGTTTCTTCTCAACTTCAGGATCAAGTACACAAGTCTTGCATTGCTCGACATCATGTGCATATCCATTGTTTGGGGGTTTATTCAGGTAAGCATCTATTCTTTTTCCGACTTCGATAAAGGTAACGAAAAAATTGTCAAACAGAGGTTCCGATATGCAAGCATTCACTCTATGAACAAAGCTATTTCGTTCCCGCCTTATGCGTTCAATGTCTTCACCTATTCCTATCTCTGTGTGAATCGGATTCGCCCCCCATTGTCTAGACGGTGGCGGTATAGAAAACTGGAAAAAATTGACAATAATTTTGTAAGATAGACTTACATCAATCTTGGTGTATCCATCGGTTTGTAATGTATCTACCGTATCAAGCTCAATTGTGTTTAGTTTTCTTCTGAAAGGATCATTCCTCATAATATCGTTGTAGAGGGTTTTTGCTGGAGTTCCGGTTTGTGCCATTAACTCTTGCATTATCATTGGAAATACTTCCAAGACCACCATGCTGCACTTTGCACATCTGTTCTTGTCTAGTGATGACATATTTATGGTTGCATCTGAAAAAAAATTAAACGTAAACACCAATAACCATGATTCATTAAAACAGTTAAATTTCAAAAACTCTCGGAACAAAATGGTTTGATTGACAAAATCAACTTATCAAAATTGTCAGACGACTCCTTGTAAGAATAGTTGCCAAACATAAACAAATGTAAACAATTAATATTTTTTTCCTCATTATTTTGAAAAGATAACATACGGGTAGAATCTTTATATAACAAAAATGATCAACTTGACAGAATCTACAAATAGGTGAAACATCAGAAATCGTCAGGGAACTTATTCTATGAGTTAATCATCCGAAACGACGATTGTTATTATAATTGTATTTCTTTTATTGTCCATTATGTTGAAAATTATAATGCATAGAGGGCAGCCTTAAACGGAACAAATTATCAGCAAGTTAAGATCTATAAATAGGTCAAATGGAAAAAATCGTTGGAATATGGTTAAAATATATGAATAGCTAAGTTTTATTATGACACAAGTGTTAGTGAACTTTCTTGTAAAATAAAATCCTTTATATTATCAAAATCTTCATAAACGACTGCTATTGAAGTATCATCTTCCCGAACACTAATTCATCGATATTTTCCCGTATGCAGTAAACTTAACTACGAGAACTCTCATTAGAACGTCGGCCATCGCATAGCGCAAGTGCAAGGGGAACCCGTGATAAAAGAGTGTATACAAACGTGCACTGAAAGGTAAATAGTAATAACTAATTATTACAAAACAAATTTAATATAAAACATCAGTTCACAACTGTTAAGGAAAAGTTTAATTAACAAATGTGACCGCATGGAAAATATTGAAAATACATATCACGGCTCTATCAATTCACTTATTTGTCACGTGCTCCACGTGTACTGTGTGGATCGTTTATTAATGTCACGATCCGTTAAACGTCGGCACAACACTCGAAAGTTAATAAGCTTGCGATCAACGATTACTGAATGACATATATTTATGTCAGTAGCGTAATGCAAATGTAACGATATTATATTAAAAACAAATTAAATAGTACACCTTTGAAATTGAAATTTGATTATTTTATGTAGAAAACTATTCACATTAATGTGAACTGGATTTATTGTAAGAGGGAATTGAAAGAAAATATTTTTATCGATTTGTTCATCTATTCAAAACTATCTGGTGACCTAGATATTTTTGTGTAAGTTACTTTTTCTGAGTTAAGGTCTCATTGACGTCTTGTTTAACATGTTTCTATTCGAATGCAACGTAAGGAGAAGCTTTTTTTGTTTATTCTGTAACATATTTCTGTCAGAAAAGATATGTAGCATCAAGAATTTTGTTAATCTTGAAAATATTACGTTTATATATTTAAGTTAATTCCTTCTTCTGAACTTCATGGTATTAAGCATCAGCAGTTTTGAAAACTTTATAAAATTTTGACTAAAGCAATAAAGACTGATTTGGTATGTTCATTGAATTTTCTATTGTTCAAGATATAATAACTCGAAAAACGCTGGAGTAATTACATCTAGAATTTTTCTACAATAAGGCATACCATTGACTTCTTGCATCAGTGTCAGTTTTTGAGTTCCAAATGGTGAAGTTGAAATCATCCCTTCGTAAATTTTACGGACGCCATCACGAGTTGGTTGACCGTTATGGAATAACTGTTTCACAGATGATATCGGATATGTTCCTTATGTCGTAACTACAATACCCTTCCCTTTTCACGAATATGACTTACCGAATTAGACTATTTACCGGATTTGTAATAACATAAGCAACACGACGGGTGCCACATGTGGAGCAGGATCTGCTTACCCTTCCGGAGCACCTGAGATCAACCCCAGTTTTTGGTGGGGTTCGTGTTGCTTAGTCTTTAGTTTTCTGTGTTGTGTTATCTGTACTATTATTTGTCTGTTTGTCTTTTTATTTTTGGCCATGGCGTTGTCAGTTTGTTTTCGATCAATGAGTTTGACTGTCTCTCTGGTATCTATCGTCCCTCTCTTGAAGGATATCAGTAATATTAATATCAGAGCTGTGAATCGTTTGGTACAATTGTAAACAAGTATCTTGACAAAGATATTTATCCACTCTCTTAAGCACCTGTTGTGTTCTGTTTTGAAATTCTTCGTAATAAAACTCTGATATTTCCTCTGACCTCCTACTGATAACGTCGTGTGTTGCATTAAGTATTCTCTGGACATCATCACCGATTTCCACTTCTGTATCGTGTGGAACATTCCCCCACTTACACGATGGTTCATGCAATAAACTTTCAATTCGCAATATTTTAAAGCACAATTCGGTTGTGAAGTTATCCAAATTTGGAAGTTTTTCCATCAAGAATATTTCACTTTCTGTGAACTCGCTAGGTATGTTATTCAGTTGATATTTCACTTGTAATCCTCTTGGACTTATACATTCTTTTAATATTTTTTGCATTACTTTCGGGAATAGTCCGTTGGCAATACTGCCTAGTCTTGCAAACCTGTCGTTAGATTCTGCAGACATTTATAGTTGCTGTGTTCGAACAATATACTGCAAAATTTATTTGAAAGAATTAAAGGCATGTGCTTTTTACCTTCAAAAACAATGAATACATGGTTAATTTGGTATTTCAAATAATACAATTAATATTAAAATAATAATAAACCATGCGTTTTTCAATTGATATTTATAAAAAAAAAAAAAAAAAAAAAAAAAACACGTGTCGAAAATGACATAATTTTTACTTGTTTCTACTGTTTCTAATTTTTATCAACAACCTTTGTCCTACAATATGCTATGACCTGTATATAATTTTATACAATATCATTGTGACAAACGATATACAATTGGGTGCAGACCAAGCATTACATTAAAGTAAACGCACGTTAACGCCGCGTGCACATATTTCGTTAGTTAACTTCAATTTTCGCGTTTACTAGTAAACGCGCGTTTACTATAGTTACGTTAACGCGGTCAAAGTGGAAATTTCTAATGTATACCCGAGTAAACGCGCGTTTACTCTGTGTCTGTTTAGATCAGTAGTAAACGGGCGTTTACTTCAGATTTCACAAGTTTTTTTACGTGCACTTAAAAGTAAACCCCGTTTACTTTTCGCATTAACTGATTGTGTAAATTATGAAATAAACTTCCTGTACATTTGTACATTTATTTTATTTTGTTTAAAACGACTTTTATTTTAATATTTGACGTATATGCATGTTAAGAACCCTTGCAACAACTCTTTGGGGGGTCCGTAGGTGACCTTTTGCAAGGCTAAATTTCTATCCCTATCCAATATTCCCTCATGTCCCGTGGCAGTCTAAATTTCACCGACCTTTACCCCGGACGCCCCTATTACAGAACCTACCTATTGTATTTATGTAATTTGTTCTCGTCCTGAATATGCATGAAATTTTTGCCACTGGACGTTAAGCAACCAACAATCAACCAACAATCAATAATTTTAAAATGTTAAAATTTAAAAATGATTATTTGAAGAAAAATTGTAAGCCTAGTATCTACGATGAGTGTATTGTTTAAGATAGTCTATCTAGTGTTTTATATTTCGGTATGGATTCCTTTAATTTGGTAATAAGAAAAATCGAATATGTCAAGAATATATATACTTGATTTGGGTTCATTTGCCTAATTCCATTTAAATGAATGATTTGTATTGCGGAAAATGGTCAATAGAAAACTACTGAACCATTATCATTGAAAACGTTAAAAGTATGAATATGTTATATTCCATCAGGTTCTTTACGCATGTTACATATCCAATTATCTAGGATAACGTTTTAAATGTTCTGCATAGCAAGAAACATATGTTGGCCATGATTTTTTAATGATAAATTTAGATCGTTATTTTCATTTTGTGTCATACTTGCTTCATTTAAGTCTGCAACAAAATATAAATGGCTTTATAGTTATGTTTTCTTCATACATTATTTCTGTATACATTCGTTTTTCTAATGACCTTAGAAAGAAAATTCGAGGAGCGCTGACCCCCTTACCCCCAAGGGTGACTCGGGAATAGAATTATGGTCCCCATTGGTCTTCCTCCGACCGGCAGTAAAATCCTCATCAAAGTTGGGCGTCCGTTTGGCTGTGCGGGATGTACAAAGCTGCAGCCATGTCCGGTCAGAATGGAGAGGTTAAATCCGATGCCTCGTGTAGAGAGAGTGCGACGCTCTTTGCACGTTATGAACCCTTGCAACAACTCTTTGAGGGGTGCGTAGGTGACCTGTCGAAGGCTAAATTTCTGTCCCTATCCAATATACCCTCATTCCCCATGGCAGTCTATATTTCTCCGACCATAATCCCGGACGCCTGTGTTATAGAACCTACCTATTGTATTTATTGTTAATTTGTTCTGGTCCTGAATATGCATGAAATATTTGCCACTGGACGTTAAGCAACCAACAATCAATCGAGAGGCGCTGCCTTAATTTTGCAGCAGTTTTTTATATTTCTTTTCCTATTTACGTATCCCAAAAGGTTCGTGCAATAACTATTAAGAATAGCAAGACAATATGTCAATAAACTAAGAATAAAGTAAAAAATGATCTTATAAGACTAGAAGCAGTAAACATTAAAATGAAATTGAGAATGAAAACGGGTAAGTGTCAGAGAAACAATAACCTGACCAAAGAGCAGAAAACAGCCCAACACCACAACTGGGTCTTTAACACAGCTGGCCCCTAAACAAAAAATGTATAATAGTTCAGCGAAAATTGACGTCACACTTAACTCCGAAACATATAAATGAACCATCATTAAAAAAAAACATAAAAGACTTACAAAGGCCAGATGTTCCTGACTTTGGACAGGTGCACAAATGCAGCGGGGTTAAACATGTTTTTGAGATCTCAACTCTCCCCCTATATCACTAGCTTATTTAGAATAAACTAACACACATCAATACGCACAGTAAAACTCCGTTTAAAATAAGTCTGAGTCCGATGTTAGAATAGGTAACAGAAAAAACTAAGCAAAATGACAATGATCAACATATTAAATTAAC